GTTTGTGGAACAGCCAAGGCGGATGATATTTGTTTTTATTCCACGGGCACGCGCAAGGAAAGGCGTGCTTGGGGTTTTAAAAAGCATTTTTGTTGAAAGAGGCAATTTTTGATATTTCCCCCGCTCGAAGGCTAACTTTGTGAGCTAGCCTAGCGCTACACTGTAGGGCGCCCAGCCGGGGGTCAGCAGCATCCCACCACGCGCAACAAAAGGACGATTGCTTGGGGAGCGTTTTGCCGGTTTCGCTCACGTAACTTGAAGCCGAGTTTTGGAGTTTAGATAAGATTCTATCTGGCCTGCGGGAGTGTTCTGATCCGGGTTGACGAACGGTGGATCCGAGGGTCACTCACCTACTACGGTCGTTGGTGTCGCACCGGGTGTCCGCTCCTACAATGGCTCACCAAGGAGATAGCCGTCTTAGGTGGTGTTGCCCGGTCAAAACACCGAGGAAGGAGAGTATGGGGGAGCATTTTAGTTAATTTTTAATATCTGAGAATTTATAATAATTAATTAATTGAATTAAATACAATTAAATATATAATTATTATAATTAATAAATATTTAATTATATTATTACTAATTCATAGGTTAATTATTTATCAATAATTCTCATGATTAATTAACTAACTTATATTAATAATTAATTAAAACTAATTAATTAATCAAAATTAATTTAATTAAATTATAATTAATTGATTAATTATAATTTAATTACACTACATTAAGGGATAGATTAAAATTATAGTTAAATAATGTGATTATATAATTACATTATAGTTATAATTAAATATTAACTTATAACATAAGCATACCTCATTAATTATAAAATTAAGCAATACTTCCATTCATACTTACCCATCATTAAGGCCCTCTTTTTTTTTTTATCTATATATACTATATATAAAAAAATCACTATACCTCTCCTCTAGATCGCCCTGAAGTAAGCTGCGTTGATGGGAGTGAGTTACCTACACGAACTGAGCCTCGTCAGTTGCTATCCGTAACGCTGAAAGAGGAAGTTGTCATAGGAAGGGGGTAAGGGAAGAGCTTCTGGCTAGGTATGTTCTCTTCTCTCTCTCTCTCTCTCTCTCTCTCTCTCTCTCTCTTCAGGTATCGAGAGGATGGGAGCCGACGATGGAGTGAGTCGTGAGGCTAGGGGGAATGCGGATCTCATGCGGTTGAGAGGAGATTGCAGTCCGAAGAAGCTCGGTTTGCGATTGAACAGAAAGTTAGTGGGAGATAGCAGTCGAGAGGGAGACAAAGAGTCTTTGCCGGATAGCGAATGGAGAGAGCGCCTCTAAAGAGCTTCAGTCGAGGCTGGCTACGGGATTTGCGGCTGTTTTGACGGCGAGGGGCCGAAGTGACAGTACGGGAATATCAGCGGGATTTGAGCGGAATTTCGCGGCCGGTTGCATGGATCTGATAGGTTAAGAACCTCTTTTTTTGTTTCTTTGGGTAATGACATGGCAGGTCAAGCCAATGCATACAGAAAGGATTAATCTATCCTGGAAGTAGATCACTAGTCACAGGAGCACGAACACAAGAATGTATCTAAACGAGAGCTTATAGTATTCTATCTTCCTAAGACTTTGGTTTTTATTGCAACTTGCTCATAAATAGAAAATAAATTATGTTTGGTGTATTCATAATTATTCGAGTGACAAGATTGTTCGTTGCAAGTTCTACTAGTCAAATTATTGAACTTGATATGGGTAAAGGATGCTAAAATATCATAGATCTTATGTCTTCTCCTTAGAAAGCATTTGAATTTTTCCAGTAGGATAATGATTTCTCATAGGTGTAACTTGATATTATATGTTCAGATATTATGTTAGGTTATTCCTTCACTAAATTCTATTAGGGATGCTGATACAAAGCCACCTTGCACAGGGCCATACCTATGATCAACAGCTTTGGCGGTAACCGTTCCTAATCTGACTTTCCTATCATCCTTCCCTTTTGCATTGTTTTGTGGGTAAGGGAATTCAACCCGACGCGTAAGTGTGAGTCCTTTTGCTCTAATTCTCTGAGGCTAAAGGCTCACCCATAATCAAAGGTTGAGAGAAGATTGTTTAATGATTATGAGATGCTAATTTGATGAGGGGTTGCCGAAGGCTCTAACCCATGTAGTACACACAAGAAATGTAAGTTATGTAGTAATATTTTCATCCTTTCTCAAATTCACAACATCGAGGGTGATATGGTCCTAAGATTGAAATATTTTTAGCTCAAACAGGTATATATTATATATTAGAGCTCATGGCATTCTTACCAAACGAAAGTTTTAATTTAGGCTTCAAAACAGATATATTGAATTCTTTCCCTTAGGGTGGCTTTAAGTAGTCCTAAATTAGCATGTTCTGGTGTCAATCATATAATGGGTTGAAATCTAGTCAAGTGAGGGCGAGACAATTTTTCTTTCATTGTGGGTGAATGTCAGGTGGAACATGAGCTGATCTTCACTTAATGACTTTTTCATTGCCTCAGATTTAAAGGAGGTCATGAAAGAGAAGAAAATTCATATACCTTGAGTTATCCAATACGTGGATGATGAACTTTTTGTTTAAGAGTCGGTGCCTCCTAGAAACCTTATTCATTTGGTAAGGAAAGGAGGTTTAAAGCAATTCAAAAACTGTTGGGAGAGCTCTATCATGCCATAACAATCCCACATTGAATTCCAATTGAAACGAGCCAATCGTTGCAATTGATGGTGACGAACTAGATGCGGATGATGAGTTAGAATGTATGATGCTTTCTATGAAACTATTTGAGCTATTTTGTCTTGACATTTTGTCGAATACCTAGAGAAAGGGTTTTAGCTTCGTGAAGTCATTGGTAGTGAATAAGGCCACCTACTTGAAGTCATTGTTGCAAGGTTTGAGAATTTTGTGAGAATTTGATCGGGGGTCAAGGTTGCAGGTTTCCATTTCCACTTAATGGAGGAAGAAGTGGGAGAATGGGGGTGGTACAAGGAAGGAGAATCAACAACAACAACAACATCAAGCCTTTTTCCACTGTGTGGGATCAGCTACATGAATCCGTTATTTTCATTGTGTCCTGTTAAGAGTCAAATTCTCATTTAAATCTAATAAAAAAAATATCATTTCTACTATTTTCTATCCAAGTCTTTTTAGGCCTACCTCTACCTTTCGTAACATAGGTCAAATATAATACATCTACTCTCCTAATCGGGTCATGGAAATGCTGACGTTTTATATGACCAAACCATCTAAGGTGACTCTCTCTAATCTTATCTGTCACTGGAGCTACTCTTATCTTTTTGCGTACATGCCCGTTTTGTATTCTGTCTCTAAAAGTAAAGCCACTCATCCACTTCAGCATCGTCATCTTTGCAACACTTAATTTTATGTTTCTCCTTTAATGGCTAATATTCTACACTATAAAGCATTGCAGGTCTCACCACCATCTTATAGAATTTTCCTTTAAGTTTGGGCAGTATTTTTCTATCACACAATTGGCCCAATGCATTCCTCCACTTCAACCACTCAAGTTGAATTCTACTAATAATATCCCATCTATTTTGCCATCACTCTCGACAATAGACCTAACATATCTTAAACGTGTACTCTTATTAATGACTTGATCGCCGAAAGCTACAATACCCCCACTAGATCTGTCACTATTAAAATTACACTCCATATATTTGATTTTAGATATGCTCTATCGAAAACATTTAGATTATAAAGTTGTTCTCCATAATTCAAATTTAGCTTCAGCTCTTTTTATAGTTTTATCAACAAGAAGAATATCATCAGTAAAAAGCATACACCAGGGTGCATCCTCTTGCAAATGTCTAGTATGAACATCCATGACTAAAGCAAAAGGATATGGGCTTAAAGTTGATCCTTGATGCAATCCAACTGAAATAGGAAATTACTTGGTCAAATCACCTTGTTTGAAAATACACCAGGGTACAAGGAAGAAGAGTGAAGAAAATAAAATTTAATAAAAAAGAAACAGAATATGAGGTGTTTAGAGATAATCATAATTTGATAAAAAATAAAAAGAGAATGAAGAAAATAAAATTTACCTAAATAGAGGTATTTAGAGAAGTATTTTATTAAAAACAAAAAATTCATAATTAAAAGAAACATATTTTTACTTGATGTTAGAACATAAATAATACAAAAATAACATATGATAAAAATATGTAAAAATAAATAAATAAAAACCATTCCAATTGGCTTCTAACATTTATATATTTGGCATGGGAATAATCTAGCAGGAAATCTTAAGTCTAGCATCATAACGATCCGAGCATAAAAGCAAAAGAAGATGAGACCATCCCTTCCTGGAAAGCTAAAGAAAATGGAAATGATGTCACAGTGAGATAAATTAAAGAAGATATGAAAGTAAACCTTTGAGGAATGATTCTACCAGCTTCCTTCAAGCTTCACTCTGGGAACATGAACTTCATATTCACAGCAAAGAGCATCATTTCTAAAGAAAAAGTTGTGCATTAAAATCACATAGCCAATTAGAAAACCAGCAAACCTCTTATGCAAGTCTTAAACTTGCTAATGACTCCCTAAGAGACCTCTAATCTAGTAGATGAAACTGAATTAAAAATATAACTGTAGATGTGCATTGCAGCACATGGCAATGTCCTAGTTACTACATGGTACATTTGTTTATTGAAAGTTGCTCATCATTATCTATGCTAAGCTCCAATATTGACTTTAACCGAGATCTATACAACTACTTAAACCATTCCAAACTATATATTGAAAATAAATACGTGGTTTTTCCTAATTATAAATTCACTCAAAGATAAAATAAGAATGCATGTAAATCAATTTTTTTCACAACAATTAGAAACTTGTTACTGCATCAGCTTTTCCATGATAGTTATCTTTAACGTTGACATCCAATGTGTCTTGATGCTAACTGGTGATCCAGAGTATGATCCATTGATATGGCCTCTTCAACATATTTGTCTTTTTTTTTTTGGCTTGGTTCTGACCTTTTTTGTTTCTCAGGTTGCCAGGTTGATTTACACCAATACAGGTCTTGCAATATTGGCCTTAGCATCTAATGCTGTTCACAAACTATGGAAATGGCCTAAAACAGACAGAAATGTATCTGGAAAGGTATAACCACCGCCCAACACACGCAATAGTTACCTATCTAAAATGTTTGTTTTAAGCATGTTCTTGGTAATTGTTATGCATGGCGATGCTGTTCTTCTCCAGGCAACTGCAGCAGCTGTGCCACAGATTTGGCAACCTACTAGTGGAATATTGATGACTAACGAAACCAGTGATGCAAACACTGAAGAAGCTATTCACTGCTTTGCACTATCAAAAAATGATTCATATGTCTTGTCTGCATCTGGGGGAAAGATATCCCTTTTCAATATGATGTCTTTCAAGGTAACTTACAGCAGCTTTTGTAAATTATCGGGTCTATATTTGCTTTCAATAATGTCCTGCCCTGAAGACTGAAGCTATTCATGTTATCAAGTGCAGACAATGACAACTTTTATGCCTCCACCGCCAGCAGCCACCTTCCTTGCTTTTCATCCACAAGACAATAATATCATTGCTATAGGAATGGATGATTCCTCAATCCAAATTTATAATGTTCGGGTTGATGAGGTTAGACCATCAATTCAAAGAAAGTACTTTAATCTTGAGTTCTAGTCTACTAGGAAATTGTTGTTTCAAAGTCAAATCTTTTTGTATTAAATCTTCAGGTTAAAAGCAAACTTAGAGGGCATCAAAAGAGGATTACAGGCCTTGCATTTTCCAACGTGCTAAACATTCTCATCTCTTCAGGTGCAGATTCCCAGGTATAAAAGTCAAAAATATTTTGATTCATGAACTGCTGATTGTTTTTCTGTCACTGATTGCATGTAGTATTAGGTGCATTTCATTTTTTATTTACTTGATGATTTTGTAATTCTTTCATGTTATGCATGGGAACTATGAACTGCTTCATTGTGATGGCAATTTGTCAATCTTGATTACAGCTTTGCGTATGGGGTATGAATGCGTGGGACAAACAAGGTAGCAAGTTTTTGCAGATTCCTCCTGGCCGAACTTCAGGCCCTGTTGTAGAGACGAAGGTTCAATTCCACCAGGATCAGGTTCAATTCTTGGTTGTGCATGAGTCCCATATAGCAATATATGAAGCAAGAAAATTGGAGTGTCTTAAACAGGTGCGTTTTATACATGAATGTGTCAGTTTTCCAATTAGAAAATTTTATTTTTAAGGCAACTATTTGAATTCATTTAGTCACATTGCCTAGCAGGCTTATGAAAGTCAAACTAACAACCAACATATTATTCCTAATAACTTTGCAGTGGGTTCCCCGAGACGGTTTGGTAACACATGCAACTTATTCTTGTGACAGCCAAATGATATATGCCAGTTTCACCGATGGAAGTGTGAATGTCTTGACATCAACGCTTAGATTGAGGTGTCGGATAAGCCCTGCAGCATATCTTAATTCTCCACCAAGGTAATTGCTATGCTTTGTATTTCTTCTTCATAATTCATCATTCTTACAATAATCCATTCAATTCTCCTGCTATCACACAGCTCAAACATCTATCCTGTCGTTGTTGCTGCCAATCCCACCGACCCCTATCAGTTTGCCCTTGGATTAACTGATGGTGGCGTCCATGTAGTTGAGCCTTTGGAATCCCAAGGGAAATGGGGAACTTCTCCCCCGTTGGAGAATGTAGTCGGCGGCTCTATTACCATCCAACCTGTTGGAAACCCTAATTCAGATCAACCATCAAGATGAGACACTCATCAACCATCAAGCCGTTGTACCTTCAGCAGATCTGTTTTTAGAAATGCTCTATCGATCTCCAACTAGCAACAAATTAAGTACGGTTATTATGATTGGCTTTGAGGTTGACATCAATTCTTGTTGATCTTTAGTCGCAGCAAAAGTTGAAGTATTGCACAGTTAAAATGGCTAACTTTTGTAGTGGTGGAGGCTGCGATAACATACAGTATGTTTAGATCACCTTCCATCCTCTTCACAAATTAGGATGTGATGTGCGTAGATATGATTTTCTTCCACTTTCTGTTTTGCGTATTTAGCCTCTGGTAACTTCGATTGCACGTAATGTAATGTTTTTTTCATATTTATATTTGATTGAAATTCCTCTTCAATGCATGGCGCTTACAGGTAAATGAAAAGTGAAATTCACGCTAGTGAGAAATCAGAAACAATGAATGGGTTCTATTTTCTGTGAATTTTCATTAAACGTTTACCTTTCCTCTATTAACAAGCTTTTATTGATTTATTTAAGAATGTTCTTTTTTCAAGAATGATGATTACATTGTATCATTTGAACAAATATGCGCTGGATAATTCGCTAGCAGATAATTTGCTGAGTTATGATGAGGTCTTTATAAAGCTTTTATTATGTTCGAGTTTACGGGAAGGTAATTAGCTGAAACAAACCTGAGTGGGCTGCAGCGGTTTGTAAGGCAAGGATTTCAGCCAAGTAAATGAAAATTTTATAAACTGCATATTCCAAGGCAAAAGTCTTTAAATTTTTTTTTTTTTTTTCTGTTTTTTGTGAAAGTTTTTAAATATATACTGTTTGAAAATTAATTAATTAATTAAATATAAATAAAATAAAATAAAAATCGTTAACGTTGTCCGTTTAATGAGCAATTTGTTGCTGGCTCAATTATACGCAGCTTTCAATAGTAAGTCTCCTTTTAAATGGGTGATTTGTTACTATTTTTTTTTACATGAAATCTACATTAGTAATTAAAGGCTGATTAATATTGATGACATTGGATTCTTCATTTTCATGTGAAAGTAAAATTATTTATTATTTGTTTTTAGAGGGACATCTTTTCCTTGTCACATTCTAATTAGTGCTTATAACCATGTATTTAATTAAATCCCTAGCTAGTTGTAGATGTAATAGAAACTCATGTCACTATACTAAATAAGAGTACAAGATACATGACAAAATACAATAAAAAAACATCTAATGCACCGTCATGTGACCTAGTAGGTCGATGGTGGGGCATGAATTGGTTTCTCGGGTGGAACTTGACGCCTAATGTGTTGCCTATGTAGCCTAGGAGGGTCGTTGACCATGGCACCTACAAAATTGTTGTTAGATTGAAGAGCCATGCAAATATATGATATTAACATAAGAAATAGAAAGTTAAGAGATTAACTTGGTCGGACATGTTGCTCGATTTTGCCCCACCCCTGCGACATGAATTACATACTCTACTCTTATGTTTTCTAGTTTCATCCATTGTGTTTCTGTAACTTCTACTTTGGGGCCTATTTGATTGTCATCTATAGTGTGGTGGGTTGAGGGTGAAAAAATAATATAATGGATCATGAATTACCCAATCTGTCTTATCTGGAATACCATTAAATTCACTTGAATATGTCATTCTATAATTGTTCATGGTTTAGTATTCTGAAACATAATCTATTAGGCTACATCTTAATAGTGTGATGCAATTAATAACATGCATGCAAGGGGCATGATAAATTAAGGTCTGACTGCAATTGAACATGTAATTTATTTCATCTAGTGTATCTATCCTATACAATCTTGATGATATGTCAAAAACTTGAAATTTGTGCATGTTAATCCAAGTTGGTTTTGACAATTTCCTTGCCTCCTACTCAACTCTTATAACAGTAATAATGACCAACTATTACTCAATCATATATCTACATTCATTTTCAATATATTACAGCAAATAAATCATAATTGAGCTTAATTTAGAAATTGTCAAAATATCCTAAATGTAAGCAATAGAAAACTCTACTGAGAAGAAATTCATATTTTTAGAAATTAACCAAATTATCAGGGATTGTATAAAATAATATTCTGAAGTTTTAATTGAACTAAAGTACTATTTTTATATTTCCAAATAAATTTCTAAATTGATAAAAATTACTATTTTTTCAAAATAAATCGGTAAGAAATCTCAAATAAATATTTAAAATATTCATAATCACAATCTCTATGACATATAAAAAGTTACATATTAAAAGTGTTACCAACATAAAATTATCATCATGTTTTGGTAACAAAAATACAAATTTGATGGAAAATTTTTCAAACATATCAATTTATTGAAATAAAAAATAGGATAATGGTTCCTTATAATGAGATGAACAAATCTCCCAACAAAATTGACTGATGAAAATCTCTCCATAACCTTTAAATCCTAGATTTCTTGTTCTCGCTCCTCTATTTTCTCTCTTATTTCCATTACAAGCTCTTTGTTAAACAAATTTGAGAAGAGATAAGAGATTAATAAAAGTTATATAATGCTTTAATAAATTTATAATAAAATTTACTACCACTATATAGATTTACTATCATTGCATTATTTTACTGCTACGATCACTGAATTTACTGGTACTGATATAGACACCAATTTTATTACTAAATTGTTACTGATATCACTACTGGTTCACTATTACTTTTAATGTTATTGATTCACTATACTAATATTGAGCATTCGACATGCTAAGTATGTGATATACTGAGCATGTGATTAAGATACTGATATAGAATAATTAGATAACATGTGTACATCATTATAGGATTTTATTATATTGATATGATTCCGACAGTCTTTACCACTGCTTTGATTTTACCATTTTTTATAATTTATTTATTTATTGATAGTATTTATACGATGACTATCTTATCTCTTTGATACTAGTAATGGTTTACTAATTTCTTTATTATACTACTTTACTATTTATGTATTATAGTATTTTACTGCTTTATAAACTTTAGTGATATTACATCTAAGTTTTTCTATTTCTACACTAATGTAATGATCATATGAGTGCAACTACTATGATTTGATCGCTGACATGCATATTTCTCATTTACCGTGCTTTTAGTTCAGCTGTAAGTTTTGGTGATCTGCTGGGCTTTAGCTCATTATATGTGATTTAAATGTTTTTCATATCAGAATAGAGGATCAGAACTGTAAGGCTGGTCAAGATTGTTTAGGTTTATTGTTAGCTTATTTCTTTCTGTCAATAATTATTCTTTTGTACTCAAGACAAGATATATATGTTATGATTGTATAGATCACAAGTAATGTACATAATTTTTGGAAAAGAAATAGAAATGTATATATTAATGTTTTTGTCAATATTTTTTTTACACTGGTATTTATATTGATAAAACATTAGGGGGCTCTAGTTGTGTAAATTAAAAGATAAAAAATAATTCTTCCAAATTAGATCTTGGGATATGATAGTAGGCAATATGAAATGGCTAATGAATTGTGAATTGCACTATCTTTGACCAACAGCAAGGATAGGGTTGGTACATGTGTGTTGATGTCTTATATAGGAGATTTTACAAACACCATATAAACAATTGGTTACACTTGCACACAAATGCCATAAACAAAGTTGTCGAGACTTTCATGTTGTACATAAGTAACTATGAATTTATGCTTGTTCAATGCAACAACTATGAACTCAACATTATTTAGAATAGACCATCCATGTAAAGCAAATTGCAAGTATACAATCTGGTGAAGTACATCACTTCACTCATTTCATCTTGAATCAATAATTCTTGATCTGTTAAATTGATACCATTAATATTTTTAAAGGCTATTTCTTTGTCCCACTTATGGGGTATCTAGCATATGGCTATATACTTGTTATTAGCAACTATTTCTTGCTCCATTTCAACAGTCCTACTATAGTAGTTTTGAATAATATTATGGATGTCATCATGATCCACCTCTCTACTAACATTATTTTAAATTAAGGAGTACGTAATCAATACTTTCACCAGACCACTCTCTTAATCCACCGTTCATTATTTCATAACCTTCGTCAACAACACTCATGGTGGCTCTATGCTTATTAGTTCCTAATTAGTTCGCATGAGAAAATTGTATCGAAGTACCTAAAGATTTAAGACTACTTTCATTTTGCATAACATTGTATTGGATTGACATACATATGTTAAGGTAAATATTGCTACAACACCTAAGAAAGTAATGCTTTTGAAGATGGTGTTTAATGGGCAACCTATTGAATTGATGGTGCTTCCACTGACATCTTCTTTGAACCACCTTCATGCGTCTCTATCCCATCATCCAATTTAAATGATTCATGGATATGAATGATTAGATTTTCAACATTACTTGTTCCCAAGCCTTTATATTCAACTTCCACATATAAAATAATAAATTCTCTGGCAACATGAGCTAACATAACTTCACGAACATCATCATCTTTAATGTATGATGTGATGAAATAGTTTCCCACCAAAAGATGACACACTAAGTTTATTGTATACTTGGATGCATCGTACTAGAGTTCTCTAAGCACCCTAAACTTAAGTTGCTCCAAGCTTGTATATATTGAAACATACAAAGGATGATTTTGATCATAAATATATATTCGTGAAAATTGGGCATCTATACTTAGTTGTCCATCATGCAGGAGCATAAGCGAGGCTGATCTTCCACTCATTGCTCCTCATGTATCATATGCAAATGCAACTTGGCCTCAAATGCGTTGATCAAGAGCAAGAGCTTGTCGGGATAGCGGCAAGTCAAATAAAATCTAAGGGAAGGAGGTGAAATAAAATGAAAACTTTCCTTTTAAAAAAGGAATCTCGACCTCACCGATGGATGGAGACCCTCAAAAGGTAAATGAAACAAATGGGGAGCTTGGGTGAGGAGATAAATAGTATGTTTCACTATAGCATGTCTCTTGTTAAAGGGATGACTTGCTCGGACTCCTCTTTAGTCTTTTATCTCTAGCTTTTTGACCGAACAGGAGACTTGTAAGGAGCCTCTCAAGTTTACCAGGCGACTTTGACTATTTATAAATTTTTTTTTTGATATGTAATTAATTAATTTATTTTAAATAGTATCTATTTTAAAAAATTTACTCTTTTTTGTTTCATCCATAAGTAGAAGCTAACATTTCTTGCATGGGCTGATTGGTTTCTTCTTCTTCTTCTCATTCTTCTTTTTATTTTTATTTTTATTTTTATTTTTTTTACATTCCACATTCCTTTCATATTGATTTATTTTGATGGAGCTTATTCCTCATAACTTTAAATAGCTTCAACGGCTCCTTCACTTACAATTGAACCCCCCCCCCCATAATCTCCCCATCATACCCCACCTCCTCAGCAAGGCCCCTGCTTATCTCCTCAGCAACC